AGGGAGGGGAGAATCAGGAGGGTGTGAGGGCAGGTGCAAGATGAGAGGTCATTCTGGGAAGGACCTGCTGAGAAGGTGGCATTGGAGAAAAGATCTGGAGGAAGTAAAGCTGCTAACTGACTGATCCTTTGGGAGAAATCTGTCCATGCAGAAGAAACAACACAGGTGTGACTGGGGTGTCTGAGGGTACCTGGGATGGAGCACTCGGAGAAGAAAGCAAGACCAGATGGGATGAATTGTGTTCTTAAAAGCAAGAGTATGGCTGGGGACGTGGCAGATTTCTTGTCTAGCATGTGTGAGGTCCTAGGTTCTATCAAGAGTACCACAAAAACAAAAAAGACAACAAAAAACAAACTAATGTAATCTTATTCTGCCAGTTGCTGTATGCTTGCTGATCCCTGGGAGGGACATCAATAAGAATAAGTTATAGTCTCTGTCTTGGTCATAAAGTTCTTAGGTGCACACAATGAAATATGCCCTGGCTTGTTTGAGCCAAATAATAATAATAATAATAGTTAAAGGATGTGAAGCAGTTCACAGACATTGTAAAAGGCATGAGACAGACTTGGTTAGTTAGACTACTCAACCCCCCTCTGCTACATGGCTCCAGTAAAACCACTCTGCCACTGTTCACAGTCACTGCCCCTCACATTGCTGACACTGCACATTGGATTCCAGAAACCCTTTCCCTAAGAACCAGAATCACTAACTATCATCATTTCCTGGAGGATTCTACATGATGCCACTCTCCATGCATGCTCTTTTTGGAGCTGGGGTCACATGCCTGTGCTATAGAGGAAAGTCCAAGCTGCTACTAGAGTAAAGTGGGACTCACAAAAGGGGGGATTCTTCGGACCTGGTGTTTTCAAAGAAGGTAAGGGGCTACAATGCCTGATGAAAGTTCCCTGACTTCCTGGACCTTTGAGTTAATGGACGCATTAAACATACATAAGTGAAAGTAGGTGTGCGCCCCTGGTAATTGAGGAAGCAGCCAGCTCCGCAGCTCTTCAAGGAAGCAGGAGAGTGACCCTACACTGGGTTGAAGATTAGCTTAGTTCATTTTCTGTTGCTGGAACAGAATACCTGTTTTGTAGAGATTAGAAGTTTATTTTGGCTTGTAGTTCCCAAAGCTGGGAAGTCCAGAACATAGTATACCACCAAGTGCTCATATTCATGGCAGAAAGCAGAAGGGCAAAAGGTTGCCTGTGAAAAGGCAAAACACAAGGAGCAGCTTTGTTTTCTAACAACCTGTCTGGTAAGAATTAACTAAGGCAAGACATTAATCCATCCACGAGGTTCCACCCCCAATACCCAAATCCTCCCCCGAGGTCCAACCTCAGATTCCAATGCATGAACTTTAGGGGACGTGCTCAAATCATAGCAGAGGCGAGGGACTGATTTTAGGGCTTATAGAGGATGGTGCTGAAAAGAATCCTTGTGTCAGACTTGAAGAGCTTTCGGGGGGTGGGGTGGGGGGGCTACTTAAGAGGCCTGAGCTTCACCTGTGGGAATGCAGGGTGGGATTTCAGGTATTGTAGCAAGTTGTGGGAAACATTTAGGATATAGTGGAATTAGGGGTTGAATTTGCCTCCCCTAAAAAAGGTTAGGTTGCAACTCTAAACCCCAGTACTTTTTAATGTGACTACAGTAGGGATGGGCCTCTTGAAGAGGTAATTGGGATAAAATGAGATAATTAAGATGGACCATAATTCAGTAGGTCTAGTGTCCTTATAAAAGGAAACTTGAACATGTAGAAAGACTCCAGGGTGTCAAGCATGGTGTTCATGCCTGTAATCCCAGTCATTCTGGAGGCTGAGACAGGAGGATACCAAGTTTGAGGTCAACCTGGCAACTTAGGGAACCTCTGATTCAAAATTAAAAAAAAAATAAAAAGGAGCTTGGGATATTGCTCACTGGTAAACACTCTGGGTTCATTCTCCAGTACCACAAGAAGAAAGAAAGGGAAAAAAACAGAAGGGGAAGAGAAGAGAGAGACAGACAACAGACAGATAGATACTGACTGAGTCATTCCAGGGATGCAGGCCATGTGAAGAGGTGGCAAGAGGGCAGCCATCTTCAAACTAAGAAGAGAGGCTTTAATTAAAACTACACTGACATTTCATCTCCAGTCAGAATGGCAGCCATCAAGAATACAAACAATAATAAATTCTGGAGAGGATGTGGAGAAAAAGGAACACTTTTAAACTGTTAGTGGGATATAAATTAGTACAAACACTGCGAAAATCAGTATGGAGGCTCCTCTAAAGACTAGGCTTGGCTGGGCGCAGTGGTGCACACCTGTAACCCCAGCGTCTCGGAAGGCTGAGGCAGGAGGATCAAAAGTTCAAACCCAGATCAGCAAAAAGTGAGGCACTAAACAACTCAGTGAGACCCTGGCTCTAAATAAAATGCAAAACAGGTCTGGGCCTGTGGCTCAGCAGTCAAGTGCCCCTGAGTTCAATCCCTGGTACCAAAAACAAAACGAAACAAAAATGCCTAAGCATGAAAGTACCAAATGACTGAGCTATACCTCTCCTCAGTATTTACCCTGAAGAAATAAAGTCATCTCACTATAGTGATACATGCATACTCGTGTTTAAAGCAGCACAATCCACAATAGCCAATTATGGAACCAGATTAGGTGTCCATCAATGGATGAATGGATAAAGAAAAGGTGGTATACATACACAATGGGGTTTCACTCAGCCATAAAGAAAAATGAAATTATGTTATTTGCAGGAAAGTGGTTGGAACTTAAGATAAGTCAAACTCAGGAGCTCAAAGGGTTGTATGTTTTCTCTCATATGTAAAGCTAGAGAGGAAAAAGGAAAAGAAAGTTGGGGGTGGACCTAATGTAAATCAAAGGGAGATCAGTAAAACAGAAGAAAGGGACAAAGAGGTGAGAAGAGGAGAGGGAGGAGGGAAGAGCTGGGGAGTGATATTGGCCAAATATATTGTTATATTGTATGCATGTATGAATATTTAACAAATCCTATCAATACGTATAACTATAATGCACCAATAACAAAATGGAGAGGAAAAAAACTTCAAAAAAAAAAAAGAGAGGCTTCAAGAGAAACCAAGCCTGTCCCTAATGCCTTAACCTTGGATTTTTAAAGTCCAGAACTGTGAGCAAGTAAACTTTGTTCAAGTCACTCAGGCTGTGGCATGTGATTATGACAGCCCTAGCTCACTGATACAAATGAACCTCCAGTACACCAGGAGGTTAGTCTTCTTGCTGTTCACCAAAGGCCATCCTGGCCATAATGAGGGCAAGCAGAGGTATTTAGAGGATATTGTTCTCTTTTCCTTTTCATTTTTTTGCTTCTGAAAAAGTCTTTATGTAATCTTAATTTTTTAAAAAATTAAATTAGATGTATTTTATCTGATACTTAAAAACATAAAAATGGGCTGGGATTGTGGCTCAGTGGTAGAGCACTCGCATAGCGCGGGCAGGACCCAAGTTCAATCCTCAGCGCCACATAAAAATAAAGGCATTGTGTTGTGTCCATCTACACTTAAATATTTTTTTTTAAATGTCAACTATCCTTTAAAAAAAACATAAAAATGTTTATATCAATGAAGTGCCATATGGTGCTTTTATATATGTTGTTTTGCCATAATGTTTAAATGAGGTTAAATGTATCTATCTCTTCATTTATTGTTTCTTTGTGGTGAAAAGTTTCAACATTCTTTTAGCTTTTTGAAATGTACAACACATTATTGGTTTTTTTTTTTTTAGTCACTATAGTATGCAGTAGCTCAACAAAACTTTTTTGCTCCTGACTATACCGTAGTACCCAATCATCACTCTTTCCCAACTCCTCCCCTCTCCCCTATTCTCTCCAACTGCTGGTAACCATCATTCTACTCTTAACTTCTATGAGATTACCTTTTTTATGTTCACACAAGAGTGAGATCAGACATTACTTGTTTTTCTGTATCTGACTTATTGCACTTATCCTAATGTTCTCCAGTCCATCCCTTTGTTGTAGATTATGGGATTTCATTTTTTTTTATGGCTGCAAAGCACTTCCTCCTATATATGAACCACTTTTCTTTGTTCATTCACCAATTTATGGGCATATAGGTTGATTCCATGACTTGGCTACTGGGAATTGTGCTTCAATAAACATGGGAGTGTGGATCTCTCTTTGACATCCTAATTTCATTTCTGTTGGAAATATACCTGACAGTGAGATTGCTGTATTATATGGTGGTTCTTTTTTTTTTTTTTTTTTTTTGAGTACTAGTGATTGAACCCAGGAGCACTCGATCATTGAGTCACATCCCCAGACTATTCTTTTTAAATTTTATTTTGAGACAGGATCTTAAAAATTGTTGAGGCTGGCCTTGAACTTTTTGAGGAACCTGTGTATTGCTTTCCACAAAGGAGGTCATTCTTGAACAAAAAGATGAAAAACTTCTTTGCTGTAGCTGGGAATAAAAAGTGAAGATTCAAGAAGACTTTTAGAAAGTTCAAGTGGCTTTCAAGGGAACCTGGACTGATGGGTGCTATTCTCCCATGCCATAGAGGATGGCTTATGCATTTTGCTCTCTAGTTCCAGACCAGCAATTCCCCTGGTCCACTGTGGCAGGCCTGATGTGCCTCTAAGCTTACCTGTTGAGCTATTTTTTATGTCTTCATGAAACTTATCTAAAGCAACTGACTATTATGATTGGCATTCCTGAGCCTCCATTTCTTGGGAGAGCATGCTACCTGCCTAGCAATCTACCCAGCATAGAGTGAAGGTTCAATGAAGGGAAGTTCCTTTTTTCTCTGCCCTTTCATTAAGATAAAATGCATATCAGGGGTGGGGACAAGGGTAAATACATAATCAGGGAGGATATTTGATGGATAAATAACTCATAAATCATTTGAAACCATAGTTTCCTGTTGAAAATTGACCTTCTGCAAACACTCAGTGTGTTCTTGGTGCCTTATCTTTCCCAAGGATGTTTAATGTGTGGTTACCCTCTACTGTATAAATGTGTGATGTGAGTTTTCCTGGATGCACCTGCGTGTAAGGACTTCTGCTGATCACAATGGTAGGTAACTGATTTCATACATGAAGGCCAGAAAAGAAAAAATAGCCAGGCATGGAGGTGCACACCTGTAATTCCAGTAACTTGGGAGGCTGAGGCAGGCAGATGCCTAATTTGAGGCCAGCCTTGGCAACTTAATGAGACCCTGTCTCAAAAAATAAAAAAGGGCTGGGATGTTGCTCAATGATAAGGCACCCCTGAGTTTAATCCCCAGTACAAAAAGAAAAAAGGAATACGTATTTCTTATTTTAATATTCTGTGATACACATTTTAATGGTAAATATGACTTGGTTATGAATCTTCTGTATATTACTTGCATTTCAATGTGTACTGTATAATGAGATTCTGGGAACTTAGAAAAATCTAAATGAGTTTAGTACCATTTCTTTTCTCCAAGATCAAGGTTATTCCTACTAATAATTCTGGGATATAATGAGATTTCTTGTGTGTCTCTAAATCTTGGGTTCTATCTGAGTGATTTAGTGAAATTAAATATAATTTCAGTGTTATAATTAATGCATCATTTTTTCTAGTGAGGAAACTGAGTCTGTAGAGGAGAAAGAGCTGCCACTGGGTATTCAACACAAAATTGTCAGGGGGCAAGGGGAAGCCATGAGACAGAGCCCAGGTATATCTCTCTAGGCCGGCACTCCCAAACTTAACTGTTTAATGTAATCACCTGATCTTTGAAGAATATTGATACCTGACTCCCACTGAAAACACTTTGAATTAATTGGTCTGCAGTGAAGAAAGGGTAACAGGAGTTTTGAATATTGTCCAGGTAATTTTATTGTTTAGCAAAGTTTGTGAACCATTTTTTGTTAATTGCATCATGCTGGATTAAGACATTTGTGCCAGGTACGGTGCTGCAACCTATAATCTCAGTGACTTGGGAGGCTGAGGCAGAAGGAGCACAAGTTCTAGACAAGCCTTAGCAACTTAGACACTGTCTCAAACTAAAAACTAAAAATAGCTGGGAATGTAGCTCAGTGGAAAAGCATCTTTGGATTCAATCCACTGTTCAAAAAAAAAAAAGAAAAAGAAAACTTGTTCTAAATATGTCTGACCCCATGTAGGCTTCCTTTCTGTCTTTAAACTTGATTTTTTTTTTGATGAATACTGTAGTGTAACAGGGACTTAGAGTCTACTTTTATCTTTAATCAAAAAAGCACTGACTCTTCACTTGGACCTGCAGAAATCCAGTGGGTAACCAAAAGCAGGATGAGAGCTTGGCATCTCTGCCTTCATTTTGCACCTGTCTCCTTTGCTACTTCAAATGCTGGGTCAGATTCCTGCTCAACTCTGCTGGTAGACAGGTTAATCATTTAAGGAGTGCTCATCTTTCCCCTACAAGGCTTAAAAGCAGCTAAACTATTTTAAAGATTTTGCAGGGACTAGAATTTTGCCTAGAAGTCTACAGTCATGTTCTAAACCTAAAAGCTTACCATCTTGCTTTTCTGACTAGTCCTTTCTCTGAGTTATTCTCTACTGCAGTCACATCGGATTCCAGGAACAACAGGTTTGATCAATAAAAATCTTGTACTGAGTGTCAAAACTACCTCCCAGTCAGTAGCAATTTTCTTATCTCTGATAAGGTAACTGATAAGGCTCTGCATGCCATTTTGAGAAAAGTAATTAACCAGACCACAGTTGAACAAGACTACTTGACTATGCACACTTCAAGCCCTCCACCTTGTTTTGGTCTTCCCTATGTAATCTCGAAGTAATTAGTGAGTCAAAGATAGCCCTTAGTTTTATCTTCCCAGAGTGGCCACACTGAGATTTTGGATTCCTTTCCTCTGTTCAGCAACACTTAGGTATTGTTCAACTGAGTGAGTGCTAAGCCTGGTCTGTTGACTCCTGTTGATCACAATGGTAGGTAACTGATTTCATACATGAAGGCCAGAAAAGAAAAAACAGCCAGGCATGGAGGCTAGGAGAGATAACAGATTTGGCAAGCCAGCCAGAAAGCCATGTCCACAAAGCAGTTGCCACCCCCAGCAGGTCAATTCCTTATGAGAGAGAGACAGAGAAGGGTCCCAAGCAGTTGCTGAAATCACTTTCATTTTGGGTAGGCATAGGCTGCTTTTTTTACCATCATTGGGTGAAGCAGAGAAACAAAATTTTGGAGTCCACGGACCATTAACATGAGAACCCTGGTCAATTCTTCCTGACTAGGCACATCAAGCCTCCCCCTTTATTTTCCTTGTCATTTGGGGGTCCTTTGAGCCAATTTGAATTCTTTTGAATCAATATGAGCTTCTGCCATTTGTTTGACAGGCAAATTTGAATAACTCTGTGGTGCAAATTACAAGGGTAGGAATGTGGGATGCATAGAGAAGCCAGGGTCTTTGGGGACAGCTCTATTATAATTTGCATAAGAATGGAAAACACTAATTCTGTCTTTGAGTTTGGGGTGAATTTGGGGTGACTTGTCTATTTATAGTTATAAACCTATGGATAAGAAAAAGAGGATTTATTATTGTAATACAGCATGAACTACATGTCTAAAAGTACAGTCTGACTTAATATAATTATTTGGTTGTTAGTCTGTGTTTATGGTGATTGGATTTACAGAGGATTAAAAGATTAACTTAATGGATACAGCATTAGTCCTGTTAGAAATTTATGTCACCAACACTTACTGCATCCAGCAGACAAGCCTCTCAGAAAATTAGTCCTGGAGACAGCACTGGGCATGACCTAATTCAAATTCATCAAGGTACTACTACCAGAATTCTTAGAAATAGCTTTGGTTAAGGTACCGGTGATACCTTCACTTTTTAAAAATATATTTAGGTTGGATTTATTTTTATTGTATTATTTATTTATTTTTTAAAAAATAATTTTTTAGTTGTAGTGGGACACAATGCCTTTATTTTATTTATTTTATTTTTAATGTGGTGCTGAGGCTCGAACCCAGAGCCTCGCAAGTGCTAGGTAAGCACTCTACTGCTGAGTCCCAGCCCCAGCCCTGTATTATTTATTTTTATGTGGTGCTAAGGGCCTCACGTGTGCTAGGCAAGTGCTCTGCCACTGAGCCACAACTAGCCAGCAGGGGCTGGCTGCTTCATTTTTGGTAGGAATTCTTCTTGCACATAATAACATCTAAAGGCTCATGAAAATATCTTATGGCCTTTTTCATGTGAATTCATTTTTGAATATTTAAATTGATATTCCTGTTAACTAGCAATTTCTCATGAACACCTGTAAGATAATTCTTAAATGGGAGTTACAGGACCAACACGTAAAAGCTTTTGACTATCTACCTATTTTAGATCTTCTGCTGTACTTCTGCTTATACTAGGATAACCAGTTACTCAAGGTTGCTCAAAGTCTTATTATCTCAGCCAGCCTTGCTGTAATGTGAACATTTTTTTAAAAAAAATATTTTTCAGTTGTAGATGAACACAATATATTTATTTATTTATTTTTATGTGGTGCTTAGGATCAAACCCAGTGGCTCATGTATGTGAGGCAAGCGCTTTACCACTGAGCCACAATCCCACTCCCTGAAATATGGACATTTAGAAGTTAACTCCTTAACTTATTTAAAACCAAAGGAAAACCAAAGTTTTTTAGAAACCAAACTACTGAGTATACTGATTCATCCTAAAAAATTTGGTTCAAGGCTTATTCAAAACTTGCAGGTAAGAATCTTAAAATTCAGCCATTTAAACAGGTGATCTTAGTTTCATTAGGTTATTGATTTCATTTTTTTATCAAAATAATTTGGTCCAAGTGTTAGTGGAGCATGCTTGCAATCCCAGCAACTCAGGAGTATAGGCAGGAGGATTGCAAGTTCAAGACCAGACTCAACAACTTAGGGAGACCATGTTTCAAAATAAAAAGTAAAAAAGAGCTGGGAACGGTGCACGGTGGCTCACATCTATAATCCCAGCAGCTTGGGAGGCTGGGGCAGGAGGATCGCGAGTTCAAGCCAGCTTCAGCAAAAGCATTAAGCAACTCAGTAAGACCTGTCTCTAAATAAAATACAAAATAGAGCTGGGGATGTGGCTCAGTGGTTGAGTGACTCTGAGTTCAATTCCCAGTACCCCCCAAAAAGAGCTGGGGATGTAGCTAAATGGAAAAGTACCCTGGTTCAACCTCCAGTCCTGCAAATAATAATAGTAATAATTATTATAATTTGGATGTGATTCTTTATAAACCTAGTCAATTTTTATTACCATATTTCTCTGTTTCATACTGGAATTTTAATATAAGTAGATCTCCAACAATGAAATTGATTTAAATTTGTTGATAAAGGTTTAAAATTGCTAACATAACATTTTGCCTTCATTGCTAGCCAATCAGGATTATATTTATCTCTGTTGGATTTTTAACATGAAATGTCCATTGATTTCTCTGTTTCAAGTTCAGCAAGTTTTAGGGATTTTCTTTGGCAAAAAGAAATAACCTGTGCTTGTCTGACATCTTGGTTTTCATGGGTAATCTAGAAATAACTGCTAAACATAAGTAAATTGGGCACATATACCTGAAATAAATGTTTATAAATGTATATGATAGAGATAACATATCTGAATCATTTGTAAATAAGCTACAATACCAATTTCAGGTACTTTTGGCCTCTTCAAAACAGTGTCCTTGATTCTGTTAGAAGTGTTTTCATCAATTGTTGATATACAAAACACAATTGAGGTGTTGCAAGGTGGTGCATGCCTTTAATCCCAGCAACTTGTGGGGCTAAGGAGAAGATCACAAATTCGTGGCCAGCCTGGGTAATTTAGGTGAGTCCCTGTCTCAAAATAAAATAAAAAGAACTAGAGGTATAGTTTAATGGTAGCATACCCTTCAGTTCAAACTTAGTAATAATAATAATAACAATAAATTAATAGTTTAAGATTGCTTTTTTCCTGGGTGTTCACTAAAAATAGGTCTCTAAGAGTTGAAATTCTCTCTCTCTCTCTCTCTCTCTCTCTCTCTTTTTGGTAGTTTGGATGGATCCCAGGGCAACTATTCCACTAAACTACATCCCCAATCTT